GGGATGCACCATGTACCTCGGCAATAAGTGTTAAATAATTTTATTCTCAGAAAACCAGACAGGTACAAAAAAAATGTTTCAGTTAAATAGGATGTCAGAAATAGTTTCATCTAGATTTTAACAATATTTTTCTTGCACATTTTTTTCTGTGACAGAAAATATACCTGTCCACTACAGTAGACGTCATGCACCAAAGGGTATAATTCTGCCTATGGGCCTATATATAGGTTGTGCCTTATTTTGTATGTTTTATTAAAATTATGATATAATTTACACTTGAATGGTTTTATTGAACAGAAATATTAAATAGTCTTCAGATTTTATCATTTATTTCAATGCTTACAGTCTATATTTATTTATTAGGTCATATAAAACTGTAGGCATGTATACATGTATACTGTATGAGTGCAGATATATGTGTGCATGATTGTGTTTGAGTGTGTGGTGGGAGGGTGTGTGTGCTTGTGTGTGTTTGTATTTGTGCTCACATGTGTATGAATAGCCCCCCACCCCCCACATACACTACCCCACACACCCCTGGCCCATAGACACTCTTATGTTTTGTTTGTTACACTTCACATTTCTGTGCCGTCATGACATAGCTTGTTGTTATTGAATGTTCTTATGTGTATTCATACCATTTTCACGTAGTAAATATTTTAAAGACATGTTTTTTAAGACCACCCATTAAGTTCTATTGATTTACTTTTTATACGTTTGGTTTGATTCATGGTGTCCACTACAGTGGACAGATATGTAACTCCCTCAAAATATAATATATTGACAAAAAAAATTTTGGCATGACTTTTCACTTATTTAAAAGTAAAAACAAACATGTAAAAAAATATCACTTTGTGATTTAATAATTCATGCATCAGAGGATTAAAACAAAATATTTAAATACATCAGTTTTTCCTTTAGAAAAGGGCAACTTATCAATTTGTGATTTAAATAAAAAATATAATTTTTATAATTAATAAAAAATAATGCATTTTTATTAACTAAATTATTTCTGATATATATAGACTATTGTTAAACAGTTTAGGGTCAGTAAGATTGGTAAGATCAAGACTGCATTTATTTGATCAAAAATATAGTGAAAACAGTAATATTGTGAAATACTGGATTTAAAATGTATTCCTGTGACAGCAAAGATGAATTTTCAGCATCATTACTCCAGTTTTAAGTGTCACATGATTCTTCTGAAATCATTCCAACATGCCGATTTGGTGCTCAAGAAGTATTATTTTATTTAATAAAAAAAAAAAATGTAACGGTAGTGTATAATGTGAATTAGAAAGCACCCACACACACATTTAAGACAAAAAATGGCATTTAAGATCCTCTGTAATGTAGTTCCTTTAAAATAGGTGGGGTTTTTTCCATTAATGAATTCCATTTCATCTTATCTAAGGTTAGATTTAGATTAGATTTAGATTTAGGTTAGATATCCAATCGATGGGGTTTTTTCCATTAATGAATTCCATTTCATCTTATCTAAGGTTAGATTTAGATTTAGGTTAGATATCCAATCAAAAACTAGTTTGCAAGTTACTACACAATCCCACTCTTCTCATCAAATCGCCTGCTTCTGGTGGCCAATCAAAGAAAGAGAGGTTTATGGGGAGGGAAGATCAAAGTCTGTCAACAGCAGATTAAACACTGATCAACTACTACAGGTTATTCATAATAAACTTGTGATGAGATTCAAACCCCATAATCCTGGTTAATTCATAATAACCCATCTTTAATATAAGGGATAGGGGATGTCTTCTCTCCCTCAACCTGGTGGAGAAGTAGGATGAAAATCTAGCACTGTATGATCTATAACAAAATTGTATCTGTGCTTCAGAATTACTGGTTACATCTTAAGCAGTAGATCCTCGAGACTGAAGTACATTCCACACCTCTTGGTCATCTTTTTCTGGCAGCACTGGTACAACCAGATCTATAAGAGTTAAATATGTCCTGGAGAAGTAGGATGAAAATCTAGCACTGTATGATCTATAACAAAATTGTATCTGTGCTTCAGAATTACTGGTTACATCTTAAGCAGTAGATCCTCGAGACTGAAGTACATTCCACACCTCTTGGTCATCTTTTTAGCATTTGTGGCTTTTTCTGGCAGCACCGGTACAACCAGATCTATAAGAGTTAAATATGTCCACAGAAACATCAGCTTCACATGCATTCACAGCTGTGCCGCACTTCAGAATGTGACGGGGGGGAAAAAGAGTTAGAGGATAATTTCTGTGAAATAACATCAAAAAATCAGAAAATCATCACCCTCCTCTCCTTCCAAATCTTCCATAAACTGCTCTCGCACAACAACAGAGCCAGGAGACCAAAACATCTGCACAAACTGGATCCTTTTTTTTTTTTTTTACAACTGATCACAGCAGCAAAACTACAGCTTGCATTTCTCATATCATCTTTTTCCCTCGAGGAGGGATTCCAAAACCCTACTTGTGTTAGAGCCTCTGTTAAACATCACTGACAATGTTCATCTTTCACCTAGACACACACAGAGATAAATGATCACCACAAACATGACATGACTATTACTCAAAATACAAAACAGCACACTTTTTCTACAATTTTATGAAAATATTTTTAAAATAAACATTTTATATTTTTAAATACACTTTTAATTGCATATTTATTTTATGTAAGTATTAGTTTAATTCAATTTTTTTTTATTTAATAATTATTTAGTTGGAACAAAGTTTTTTTTCACAAATGTATAATTACCGCTCAAAATAATTGCAGTTTTTTTAAATTCTCATGTTAAAATCTCAATTTAACATACAATGACTTAAAGCACATCACTTACAAAAAAAAAAAAACCTGAGGTTAAAATCCACATTTAAACCTTCTGGATGTTAGAACATAAGCAAACACTTTTTTCCCTGAAGTATGCATAGAAACAGAATGTATTGTAAATAAGCAGCTGGCATAAAATACCTTTGTGAAATTTATATTGATAACCGACTAGCCATTTAAGATGAACTAGATTTTACCTACATTAATTAGTTGGTGTTTTGGCGGAAACTATGGTAACCACGGTAAATATTTAAACGAGATAAGCGTCTATACAAACACAGAGCGCGTCAGTTTGAAATTTACTGAGATAACCAGCTCTAAAGATAGAATTAAACGTGCTGGTTTTACAGCACTAACTCTCACGCCACGTTATAGGAGAACGTTATCAGTGAAAGCATGTTACCTTACCTGTACTTCCAGCACTTTCAGGAACAACCTTCAGTTTCTCAGTTTATTTTTACTACCTGTTTTTACAACCCTCCAAAACAAAATTATGACGCCGGCTGCCACCTATCGGTGAACAAGAGAAATTACAGATTTGGCCTCACAACCGTTGGCCACAAAGCTACCATTACACCACCTTATAAATTATTTTATTCAAAAAGGCCGCTGTAATATATACGCAAAACAGACAAAAAAAATAATAAATCTCTCAACTTCCATAATTTCCACTAATAATACCATAGCAACTAGACATACTACTATTGTAAAATCATGAAGAAAAAGAATAAAGGAACTCCATAAGAGTGTAAGATTTCGGAAGCTTTTTCTTTTTATTGTGATGACAACAGCAGCAGGCTACCAGTTCTTTAATTCTGCTCCTGTAGGAGTTTAGCTCACGACCAGATCTATAAGAGTTAAATATGTCCACAGAAACATCAGCTTCACATGCATTCACAGCTGTGCCGCACTTCAGAATGTGACGGGGGGGAAAAAGAGTTAGAGTGTGAAATAAGTGAAATAACATCAAAAAATCAGAAAATCATCACCCTCCTCTCCTTCCAAATCTTCCATACGCACAACAAGCACAACAACGGAGCCAGGAGACCAAAA